GCGGATCGTAAGAAGGCGTTGGTGCAGAAACAGCGGGCGCAGAAGAGGCCCACGCGGGTGAAGCAGGAGAGTAATCCCACGGCTGATAAAATTGCTGGTCTATCTGTTGAGAGAAAAAATCGGCGACGGTTGAATCTACTTGCTGATCGATCTGCGGATAAGGAGAGTGGGGTTGAGCCATGAGTTCTATGTCTCTGGTGGACACAGAGTTTGGGCGGTATCGCTGATCAAACATCTGCTGAGAACTCTGAGACGCCATCGGTTGATCTACCTGGTGAGCTTGAGGGATGGCCATGGCTTCTATATCACTGGTAGACACAGAATGTGGACGATATCGCAGTGGTACGAACGGCCTATCGGCCTCACTATCCAGCTGTGAGGCGAGCGGGAGCCCGGCGGCATTCACATTCGATCCTTTCTTAGGTTTGGGCGGTATCTGATCAAACAGATCAGTTAGTTACAGCAGAGAACGTACGGGATCCACCTTTTTTTTTTGTGATTTTTTTCGAGGCTCGGCGACCTTTTCTATCCCCTGAGAGCCTACACGGCCGCGACCACGGCCACGACCCCGCCCCCTACCCCGCCCCTGACTCGTATCGCCTTCATCCTCGTCCGGATTGTCGCCTGTGTCCGGATTGTCGCCTCCATCCCAAGACCGTAGTATGAATCAGTGTCCTTGACTCTGATCGTATCTTGCAACTCACCTGAACTCGCGATATCCACTCGGAACTGAAACATCGACATGATGGTAGTTGAGATAGAAGAGATGATAGAAGAGATGGTGACTTCCCACCGTTATATTTGGATGAAGTGCCTCGAGGCACTTCTCGTGTTCTATACAAACTTACATAATAATGAATATGCACGATAACAGTACAAACGACAAATCTCTTGACAGACAGCAATGCTTGACAATGAAATTTAAGCTAGAACGAAGGAACATATCGCGTTTTCCTAATCCTGTTAGAATAATTAACATCGAGACTTTGAAATCAGGAAAATAGATAACAGACCATGATAACACTATCAGAATTTGGAACCTCGCACCGCCCATCCTCAAGTTCAAGCTTATCCCCCTGCTTATCCCCCAATACTTCATACTCGGAATCGTATTCGTCGGACGGAACGGTGTCTGAGCTCCCATCACCGTCATCATCATCGTCGAACGCGGCAATTTCAGCTCCAGGACTGCTCTCTGCACTTGAATCTTCATCATCTGGATTGCGATAGCTCATCCCATTCTCGTCCATGAACTGCTTCATTGCTGCTAGCTCTTTGTCCACTTTCCAGAGGCTCCCGCGGCTGCTAGTTAAGATATTCTTGTGAAGGCCCATCATTCCTGCTGAATGTTTAATCCTCCAGGCACTAAATTGCACTTTGCATCGTAGAAACTCCCTTCTGGCTGTATGTATTTTGAATGCCCTTAAGACATTGCTCGGAGTCAAGTCATCCTCATCTAAGAGAATGAAGGATAAAGCTTTGCTCAGTGCTTCCGCCTGTAATCCGTTAGGTTATGTAAGCTAAACATTGAAATATTCTTACAGATTCTTTGGGGAAGGGCTGGTCTAGAGGAGGAACCTGAGATTTGACTTTGGGTTCGAACCTTGTAATAACAGGAGGCAACTTCTTTCCGAGTCCTCTGGTAGGAGATACCGATATGTGAGGATAAGTGTAAGGACCGTTTTACTATTTTCTTATCTTTGTTATGTCTTGGTTCTCAGACGCTTTTCCCGTTACACCTCTGGCTCTAGGGCTAGAGGTATCCTTTGCCATCTTACTTCTCATAGCCCTCACAGGCTTTCTTAACCATCGCTACCACTTTATATCACAGATCAGAGACTGGGCATCGCTCCCAGCTAGCCAGCACACTGGGTAGAGACTGGTAGTAGGCATCTCGCCAACCAGCTCCAAGCCCTAGTAAAGCCTGGTAATACTAATAAACGCCTTATCTAGAATCGTACCTCATCATGAGGATACGGTTCCTGACCACGCGTAACAATCTTCTATTATTAGTACAAGTCTCTCACCTGCTGATTAATCAAGTCAGAAGTCGTACGATAGTTACTCTCCCTTTTTCCTATTGGTTGATTAATTCCTCAGACCACTTTTCGTATATTTTCCTTTCGGTCTGAGGAACGGACAGTTCTCTATATAAAAGACGTACCTATTCATGTATAGCTCCTTAGCTTTCTATTACTGAATTTACCCGCTTTACTCCTCAACAAGAACCTTTGAAGCTTACCTCTCAAAGTCCTCGACTCGCTATATTTCTAGCGTCTGTTGACCTCAAGCTCATTGGACCCTTACTCCCTGCAAGTGCAGAAGGAGATAGGTTTAGTTCTTGTTATAGTTTATCGTTGCCTCACAAAATAGAAAGCTCACTCTACAATCCGTTCACAGCGCACCATCTCGCTTGAACCCATTATAGCCCTAACCCACCTTTTCCTTCATCCCTCGGACGTGTTGTCATTCACCGTCCTCCTCCCCATCCAAAACAACCACTTGCCTTCTAGCTAAGCTAGCTAGTTGTCCTCTCCAACATTCCTACCCACCTCGAAGTAATACTCTTACTTGTTCTAGCTCAAGTCCTCACCCTAGCTGTCGTCTTTGATCACTTCTACAACCGTCAAACTGTCGAACATCAGAGAGAGCCTAGTAACGGACGAAGAACGACGTTCACTCGAGGAATTCCATCACGCCCTCAACAACCGAGACCTCCACGTTGCAGTACCTGTCAACGCTGCCACGCACCCCCAGCCTGTCCACAGCGACACAGAAACTGAGTACTACGAAGACTCATCAGCCGCCTCTTCCCCCGTTTCTGAACTAGAAGGACTAGTTCTAGCCGTCGACGATTTAGCATTTGAAATCTCCCAACTCCGTCAATACGTCGCGCTTACTCGAGTACGCATCGGCAGCTGCTCAAACCTGCTTTTGAGAATCCGATCAAGCATCCAGAGAATTGTTCAGGTTCAATTCGATACACCTAGAGCACCTATCGATTGAAGTCTACGAACAGAGAATTCTAGAACCCCCTCGTCGGAACGACAGTGAAGAAAGACGAGCCCTCAGACGACGAGTAGCAGAAACATAAGACAGCTCTTCTCATACTATCCGACAGAATCTCTCCACGCATCTATCACCTTCCAAACTACGTTGAAACTCCCCAACTTGCGTTCTCACCAGAACAGGACGGGAGAGAGATCCACTACCTACTTCCCTGTGGAATCATCATCCACCGACGACCCTACTCCGCACCCTACCTAGAATTCCTTACGCCCTACCTCGAACCATCCAAAATTGACGTATACGTTACAGCGTCATTTAATCCTACCCCTCTTGAACTTCTTTTTACAAGAATTGGAATTTACGAAACCGATCTCATCAAATTCTATCGGGAAATACCATTCTTCTTCGACGTCCCCCTCACTCCCGAACAGAACGACGCCTTCAACCCACGAGATTATCTTAAAACAGGAGTCCACGTATTAGTTGTCACCCCTTTCTGCCGCGACGCAATACGGAGGATAGTAGCCTGTATATCACAATTTCGCAGACTAGTGTTTAAGATTGGACACGAAATCCTCGAAGGAAGAAATTGGGAAAGAGAACAAAGACAGATCAGGAACGTCTGTCGATTGTTCAGAGAATACCAAAACTACGGAAAAGAAGTTTTTGATTTAGTCATCCGCCACCCCACAGATCGTTTCATCGTTACCGAGATCAACACCGAGTTCTGGGGAACGCTTATTCGAGAAAACAACAGAGTCTACTCGCAGTATAAACCAGCGTACCATCTGACCCACGGAAATTTCTCTTATATCCCTCCCGTATCCTCGTTGATTCAAGGAAACGTTCTCATAGAAAGGACCCCCTCACCAGACGAAACAACCTCGAACTTGGACAGTAATTCTACCACTAGCTCACAGGTAGAAAGAGATTTGGAAGAAGAAGAGAATATTTTTGGATTTACTTCTAACGATTGGAGTGACGAGTTTGATTACGATTCAAACTAAATAAAACTCGTTTTAATTCTTCAAAGTGTTTTCCGAATATCGAAACCCAAGACCGTCCATAGAACCAGAGACTCCACCCAGACAAACCCTACCACTACCACCTACACGCCCACCTCCACCTCCAATTCCTCCAAAACCCTCATCCATGTCTAACCCCACGCAGTTACACGGCAAAGTAACTCTCGCAGCAGAACCCTTCGAATTCAAAGGAGAGAAGGAACGATTCATGGCATGGCGCCAAGCACTACAGTTGTACTTAACCGCCTACTCCTCCTACTTTCCAGACGAGAAGACGAAGCTCATTTACCTCCTATCCAAAATCAGCGACCAAGGAACGTCGACAGTAAAAGCTTGGAAAGAGAACATGCTTACCAAAGCTCTCGACGCAACTACCCCCGTATGGCCGACTCTCTCGACCGTCCTGACCGATCTAGCCCAAGTATTCGGAAATCCAAACGAAAGATCGCAGGCGGTAAACGAGATTGAGACATACAAGCAGGAGAATAAGCATTGCGACGAATTCTTTAGCCATTTCACAACGCTCATGGACAAGGCCGGATATGACGCTACCACTCACTTCGACGTGATCAATCGAATTCTCAAAAAGAATCTTCACTCTCGAATCTGTGATTTCGTCATCATCCAGAGAGACCTACCAAAAACATTTGCTGAGTGGAAAACGCAAGCCTACGCATGGGAGGCACGAAGAGAAGAGTTTCAATTAGACGAAAGACGAAAGAGAGAAGTCACGCAGCCGTCGCGACCCATCTACAGACAACAGACGTATACGCACCAGCATGTGCCGCAGTTACAGCAGATGGCGAGACCCCAGACGAATCAGTATGCAAGAAGGTTCGAGGATCAACCTCAGAGAGGTGTATTCCCCGGACAAGGCGTACCCATGGATACAGACCGACAGAGTCGGTTCAGGTTATGTTACGGATGTGGCCAGCCGGGTCATATCGCAAGGAACTGCCCTCTGAAGAAAGTTGCAGCTAGAGAAGCAACCACAACCCAGGAGGAGACGAAGACGAAGGATTTTCTCGAAGGTCAGGAGTAAGCACGGACTCTCTGACCAGTAAGCACGGTTCGGAAAATGTATTTGTAACTGATAAATCAAAACATGTTTCCCAAAACCCACGTGCCGAGAAATACGCTAAGCCACATTCAGCAGAATGGTTGGCTCGACGAATTAAAGACCAGAAAGAAGAAAGAGCCAAAGCATTGGTTCGGAACTGGGCCTCACCCCAGTGTTACCCACACATCACGACGGATACAATCAATCTACTCAAGCAACACGATGAAGAGTATATCGTAGAGCAATTGAATGTGATCAAAGACTTCGCATCCCTCCCCCCATCTCATCAACGCAAACTCTCGCTACAATGTCAATTATCCACTATCGACGATCACCAGACGCATGTCATTCCAGTTTTGATAGATTCAGGATGCACAGATTCTATCATTGACGAAGCCTTTGTTCGGCAACACAACATTTCCACAAAACCACTGCCAACTCGTGTTATTGTCTCAAACGCCGATGGAACCAAGAATCGCACTGGACCTTTAACGGAATATGTGACACTTCGCCTAACTGTGGCAGGTCGCACGGAATTAATGGACTTCCTGGTCACTGGACAAAGAGAGGCCAGAATTTTATTAGGACACGACTGGCTACGACGCACGAATCCCGACATCAACTGGCAAACCAACACCATCACGTACCCTTCTGATGATACGGAGTATCACCCTGAAGACGGAGATAGAGTCATCGCTGTAGACTTACAGAGCAGGATTGACAAAATTTCCGTCGAAAGCAACGTATCTCAGACCAAAAGCCAACAGATTGCGGAAGAATCAGAACGAGCAAAGTCAACACTCACGTTCAGAGACGTCGTTCCCCCATTTTATCATCATTTTGAGCCAGTATTCACAAAAGCGTCATTTGACAAACTACCCCCACGACGAGTCTGGGATCACGCAATTGAACTCCTACCAGAAGCCAAAGGTCTAGACTGTAAAACGTATCCACTCAACCGAGACGAACAAATTCATCTTGACGAATTCTTGAAAGAGAACCTGGAGACAGGAAGGATCAGAGTATCGAAATCCCCTTACGCATCCCCGTTCTTCTTTATCAAGAAAAAAGACGGATCTCTCAGACCGGTACAAGACTATCGGAAACTCAACGCCCTCACAATTAAAAACCGATATACGTTACCCCTCATTTCAGAATTGATAAACCGACTCAAAGGAGCGAGATTCTTCACCAAGCTAGATGTCCGTTGGGGATATAATAATGTTCGAATCAAAGAAGGAGATGAGCACAAGGCCGCCTTCAGAACTAACAGAGGACTGTTCGAACCTCTGGTTATGTTCTTCGGACTCACGAACTCCCCAGCCACCTTTCAAACAATGATGGACCGACTTCTCAGAGACCTAATCAACGAAGGATCAGTTATCGTATACCTCGACGACATCATGATATTCACCGACTCGTTAGAAGAACACAGGAAGATCGTATCCAAAGTTCTTCAGATACTCGCAGACAATCAATTATATCTCAAGCCAGAGAAATGCGAGTTTGAAAAGAAAGAAGTCGAATATCTGGGAATGATCATCTCCCATGATACGATTCGTATGGACCCGCTAAAAGTACAGGCAGTTGCAGAATGGCCGATACCACGAACAAAGAAGGAGTTACAGTCATTCCTAGGGTTTTCAAACTTTTACAGACGATTCATCAGAGACTACGGAAAGATTGCCAAACCGCTGACGATTCTCACCGGAAAGGTAGACTGGGAGTGGGCTGAAGACCAACAACGAGCGTTCGACGTTCTCAAAAAGACAATCACCACTTCGCCCACACTCGCAATCCCTAACGACGAGGATCCATTCAAAGTTGAATGTGATGCCTCCAACTATGCCACGGGAGCAGTGTTATCCCAGCAGCAAGAAGGGAAATGGAGACCGGTCGCATTCCTGTCAAAATCGATGAACCCTGCAGAGAGAAATTACGCTATCTGGGATAAAGAAATGCTAGCGGTAATGCATGCGTTAGAAGAATGGCGACACCTCCTCATGGGAGCTAAACACCAGTTCACCATATTCACCGACCATCAAAACCTCACCTACTTCCGAGACCCCCAGAAGGTAAACAGACGACAAGCTAGGTGGATGGACACACTAGCGAGATACGATTTCAAGCTAGAGCATGTGAAAGGCTCGGCAAACACGAAAGCGGACCTACTTAGCCGAAGAGTAGACCATCCGAGAGGCGAGAGAGACAACGAAGGACAGGTCCTTCTACCTCAGCTCGCGGAAGCAAACATTTATACTATGGAGGACGTGTTAGAAGAACACTACCTGGACGAGCTGCTAGCTTCGCAGCACAAACTAGACGATTACGTAGTAAGGAAGTTGAAAGAAGATCCAAAAGTTTGGAAGAAACGAGACGGAATCGTTTGGATAGGAAATGAGAAAGAAGACGAGTTGACGTTAGGGTCCTTCAAAAACAAAATCTACGTACCCCAAGTTCCGAAGTTGAGGGCACGTATTATCGAAGAAGAACATGACACGAGCCTCAGCGGACACCCAGGAGAAAGAAAGACGCACGAAGGAGTAAACCGATCATTCTGGTGGCCTAGCCTCAGGAGAGATATCAGGAAATATGTCGCAGGATGCGAGATATGTCAGAGAACAAAGTCGCATCGTCAAAAACCGCATGCTCCCCTCCATCCAAATCCGATCCCTGATCGTCCTTGGCAGATAATCACAACGGATCTCATCGGAGCATTACCAGAGTCAAACGGATACGACGCTATCCAGGTTTTTGTTGACAGATTCTCGAAAATGGCTCACTTCGTACCAACGCACGTTACTCTTGATTCGTTAGGCTACGCCAAACAACTACGAGATTCGGTTATACGACTACACGGCATCCCGGAAAAAATTATATCAGATAGAGGACCTCAATTCATGTCGAACTTCACCAAGGACTTCTATCAGACCCTTGGGATCGAACCCGGCCTGTCAACAGGTTACCACCCCCAAACTGATGGGCAATCCGAACGAATCAATCAAGACCTAGAACACTACCTACGCACGTTCATTAATCACCGACAAGACGACTGGGCGGATTGGCTAGCCATTGCCGAATTCACGTACAACAATCATCTCCACTCTGCGACCAATCAGACCCCCTTCTTCGTAAATTATGGTTCTCACCCTCGCAAAGGGACCGGTCAGAAGCCTTCCGGACGTTCGCAGGCTGCCGAAGATTTCGCAACCTCTATGACAAAACTACACGAGCAAACTAGGCAATCATTATTACTTGCTAATCAAAACCTCAAAAAGTACTATGACCGAAAACGCACGGAAGCACGGGAATATCACAAAGGGGATAAGGTGTGGTTAGAAGGAACTCATATCTCCACCGATAGACCGATGAAGAAGTTAGATGACAAGCGATTTGGCCCGTTTACGGTAAAGGCAAAAGTCGGCCCATCCGCTTACCTCCTTGACGTCCCTAGATCCTGGAAGGCGATCCATCCCGTATTCAACGAAATCCTCTTATCGCCGTATCACACGCCGGAGTTTCCTAATCAACCTCGTACCTCGAAACCTCCGCCGATCCAAGTTGATGGCGCAGCCGAATACGAAGCCGAAGAAATCATTGCTTCTCGGCCCACTAAACTCAAAGGGGCTAAGCTCGATTACTTCGTCCATTGGAAGGGATACCCGATCACAGAGAGGACGTGGGAACCCGACCACCATTTGAAAAATTCCCCTTCACTTATTGCCACCTTCCACCGCAAACACCCTGCCGCCCCACGTGTCATCGCCTCTGCCGCCTTACGATTTCGTCCATACGAAAATTTCACTACAACAACCGAAAAACCCCGCCTTTTCGACTGGATCACAAACCGCTTCACGGACTGCGGCGCTAAGATTCTTGGGACAAGAATATAAAAGGGGGGGGTAATGTAAGGACCGTTTTACTATTTTCTTATCTTTGTTATGTCTTGGTTCTCAGACGCTTTTCCCGTTACACCTCTGGCTCTAGGGCTAGAGGTATCCTTTGCCATCTTACTTCTCATAGCCCTCACAGGCTTTCTTAACCATCGCTACCACTTTATATCACAGATCAGAGACTGGGCATCGCTCCCAGCTAGCCAGCACACTGGGTAGAGACTGGTAGTAGGCATCTCGCCAACCAGCTCCAAGCCCTAGTAAAGCCTGGTAATACTAATAAACGCCTTATCTAGAATCGTACCTCATCATGAGGATACGGTTCCTGACCACGCGTAACAATCTTCTATTATTAGTACAAGTCTCTCACCTGCTGATTAATCAAGTCAGAAGTCGTACGATAGTTACTCTCCCTTTTTCCTATTGGTTGATTAATTCCTCAGACCACTTTTCGTATATTTTCCTTTCGGTCTGAGGAACGGACAGTTCTCTATATAAAAGACGTACCTATTCATGTATAGCTCCTTAGCTTTCTATTACTGAATTTACCCGCTTTACTCCTCAACAAGAACCTTTGAAGCTTACCTCTCAAAGTCCTCGACTCGCTATATTTCTAGCGTCTGTTGACCTCAAGCTCATTGGACCCTTACTCCCTGCAAGTGCAGAAGGAGATAGGTTTAGTTCTTGTTATAGTTTATCGTTGCCTCACAATAAGGGGTGTAAGGAGAGATCTTTGAACGTGTGGGACTCTTGACTTTGCCTGTATGAGGGTTATGGGGAAAGGTAGCACCCATTCGACTCGATGGAAGGCCAGCTTTGTAGTCGGTTTCAAAAATAGAAGGCAAGTCATTCTCGTTGTCAGAGGAGTTAACAGTGAATTCGCTGCGAGAGAGATCAGGAGTGTTGTCGGTGAGGTTACTTTCGCAGGACGACATGATGGGTTTGAGAGAGATTGTGGTCGGAGTTTGAAGGACTTGCATTTCTCTCTGTGCTACTCTGTAAGGTGAGTGGGCAGGCCAGCACAGGCCAGTGCGTTGACGAGTATTTCACGTATAGCTTCGACTATGGCAGACAACGGTTATGTGGATCCAAGTTTCGTCAGCTGTCCTACTGAAGGATGCTCCGAACGATTCGCCAGTTGGCAAGAAGTCATCAATCATCTTGATGACCCTTTTCTTTCTTGCGTGCCAATCCCCCTCGTCGCTTCAGACGGCAATCAATATCATATCCAAGAAATGCTGAAGAACTTGCCTGAGGGTATGCCTCTCTCGGATAATCAGGGTATCCATCCACCAGGATTCAAATTCTCATATCATCCTCACTCTGCATACGACTATGGCCGACTACCAAACATTTTGGAGGAGATGAATGCCGATAAGTATGCTTCAAAACGCACGCACAATGTTTTTTGGCCGTTTTCATCACAGAAGGAATGGGAGCTGGCGAAATTCTTGATGGAAACACTCAATCAGTCGCAGATTGATAAGTTCTTGAAACTTGCTTGGGTACGGGCTTCGTTATTCTATCTTCATTGTTGTACTCATTTTTATCAGACCAAGGATCCATCAAAATTGAGCTTCAGCTCTGCCTACCGTTTAACTTCGTTTATAGAAGTACTGCCGACCGGACCTGTATGGAAAATGGAGGAAATACAAGCTGAAAACTACAAGACAGCTAAGCCAATGATATTGCTCTACAGGGACGGCCTGGAGGTTGTTAAGTCGCTGTTTGGGAACCCCGTTTTTGCCAGGCATATGATGCTGGACCCCAAACGAGTATGTGATAGCCAGGGAGAACGCGAGTATGGTGAGTGGATGACAGGTGATTATGCATGGGCTATTCAGGCAGGTTTATGCTTTCTATGTTTGGTTGTTTTTGTTGATCAAGTTTTCAGGATCAACTTCCTCAAGGTTCCACTATTGTAGGAATTGTCGGTGCATCCGACAAGACAACAGTTACTCGGGGAACAGGCGGCATAGACATGCACCCCACTTTCCTCACGCTAGCAAATATAGCTTCGGACGTGCATATGAAGGCAACGTCGCACTCTTGGCTATGTACTGCTTTCCTCCCCGTTCCAACGTTTCTGGACTGTCGAACGGAATATCAAAGTGTTCTCTCTGATCGTGTTTGGCACACGTGTATGGATATCATTATGAAGAACCTCAAAGCATCAGCTGCAACTGGTGTTTGGATGTCCGATCCTAATGGTATAGCTCGACGAGCATACACACCTCTCGTAGCCTGGGTTGCGGACTTGCCAGAACAGCAAATGATCGCGTGCACGACAAAAAATCTCTCTCCCATATCTCATGCTCGTTTGAACGAATTTGGCGACAATCACCCACATCGACCGCGGTTGGGGATCGATACATTATTGGCTATAAACAGTATACAATTCGATACGTGGGACTTTGCTAATTATCTTCCAGATGCGAAGGTTAAGGGTCTAAGTGGAGTTCATCAGCCGTTTTGGAGGGACTGGTCTCTAGCTGATCCTAACAAGTTTCTCGTTCCCGAACTTTTGCACACTTGTCACAAATTTTTCTTTGATCATGTGCTACTGTGGTGCAAAGAAGCAATTGGAAAGGATGAGTTAGATGCGCGCTACAGGAGTTTACACTCACGAGTGGGATTCAAACATTTCGGGAGCGGTATCTCGCACGTCAAACAAATGACAGGTCGCGAACATCGCGAAATCCAGAGGACGATCGTTGCGACGGCCGCTGGCGCTGTAGCCCCCAAATTTCTACGAGCCGTCCGAGCACTTGTCGACTTCATATATCAAGCTCAGTCTCCCATTCATACTCCATCATCTATCACAGCCATGGTCACCTCTCTATCCGAATTTCACGATCATAAGCAAGCGATATTGGACGCCGAGGCTCGTCGGGGCGCTTCTTCAACCATCGACCACTTCAACATCCCAAAGCTTGAGCTTTTACAGCACTTCGCTCGAGCCATTCGGAATATGGGGGCCATCATGCAGTTCACAGCCGACGTGACCGAGCGCCTTTTAATCACTCATTGCAAACATCCGTTTAGCGGTACGAATGGCCGGCTCTTCTTCGAGATACAGTGTGTTCGTATTCTTGACCGTTTGGAAAAGGCAAGGATGTTTCATTTGTACGCAGTCTTGCGACACCGAAAAGCTTCTCTAATAAATTATCTCGTGGCCGAGGAAAGCTCTCTTTTAGCTGAAGTAGATCCCGAATCAAGCTGGTTGTCCCATACTCTACCCGAAGAAAAACGCGTCTTTAGTATTCGGCCCATGCGGAATCATTTCTTGAAGGGTATCAGGTCTGTCGACGCGAAGACAGCATTTCATCTCACAAAGGAACCAGACATGAAATCTGTCTCGATCAAGGATGCCGCTGAGCATTTCGCATTGGACGATCTACCAGGAGCCCTAGCCTACTACGCTCGAGGTTTGCGGCCTGGAGATGGGTTTTCAGGACCGGACGACTACAACTTGCCATTCACACACATCCGAGTGTGGTACAAATGCAAAATACAGTTACATTCGATGTTCCGTTCGTATCTCGTGATGCCTGCGCAAACCATTCAAGCCTACCCCCCCCTACCCAAGATGCCGCTCGGAAATTGCGATACTGTGAGATTGAGTGGCTTTGATGGGCGTAGCTTCGCTTGTAAGTGTTTTAAGCTTGCTATTTTACCAGGATATTGACGCTATTTTATTTTCTTCTAGCTGCTCCTATCCTACAAGTTCGAATTATATTCCAGGCGATTGCGCCGAAGAAGACCGTCCTTGATCAGCACCTTTCGCCCGTCCTTGTATACGCGCAAAATTTTGGGTTTTCCGGGGGACGGAGGGATTCGAATGGTAGCGTTGCAGTTGAAGAAGATGTTGATATGTACGTCGTCGAGCGGCTCTTTCACAACAGGATCACAGCCAGCGGAGAAAGGCTTCGTATGGGCAGTATTTACCCATTGAATACGATACATTTACCCGTAGATCTCATACCGGTTTTTGGCGCCGTCATGGATCGAAACATCACTGCCAGCAACTCTCTCGAGATTCCCACTATGTTCTACGTCAATAATTTTTCAGACAAGGAAACTTATAATACGTTTTTGACTGAATTCACCGAATGATCATTGGTATTGACTAGCCCCGCTCTGCAGTACTGGTAGAAATACAAAATCTGTGTATATTGTATTTACCAGCCAATCTACATCTTATCATGCTGATAAAAACGTTATCTTTATCATATCGCAAACCTCATCGCAATCTATCTTGGATATTCAGACCTCTGGATATATATGGTAATCCCAACTCTTTCCACCAATCAGAGACGTCAGCGCCAGAAGCCTTGGATTTTGAAATGCGCTTAGGCCTAAGCGAGTTTTTGGGATTTTACAGATGTAGGGCTCCGCGCTAGCGTCTGGGGACATTTGATACGGGCCGAGTGCATCGAATCACGCTCGTTAGCCGGGAAACCTGCCGAGTACCTGCCGACTTGTAGTAACATAATCATAATCAAACTGTTATCTTATCTCTTGCCATGAGACTGTGAGATTGATCATCCTGGTGGCCAGTTTAACAATGAAGTCAATCCATTCACGCAGAGTAGCATACATGTATTTTCCAATCCTACTGACACAGAATCTGACAGTGATCCTGAGGATCCTCCCCAGCTCCCGATTCAAGTGCAACATACTGCATACCTCAAGAGTCAGCTCATCAGCAGTCCTGTCCTCAAAGTCCAAGCCGTTGTCATGCACCAAAGTTGATTGGTAGCATGGACAGGTGTTAATAACGAAGCAAATAATCAAAAAGACTCGCCTTTGCGCCACACAGGCACAGTGCCACGTGGAATAGTAATTAATATTGCCTTTTTCGAACTTGTGGCTGATCAGCACCACCTCTATTAGGCAATCCAGTCATGCTCACCTTTGCTTTTCCATCCGGTACTTTCGGCATTTCGGCATTTCGGCAAATTTTCGCGTTGCCACTGGCTACACATTGCATTGCGCCCTCGCTTTTGTCGTTTCCCTTACTCCCCTTCCTTTGCCTAGCCCCACCATGGGCCCCTTCCTCTCCTTTTTATTCTCACCTGATGGTCGTTTCTGGATCCCCATTCTAATCCACTTTTTCGTCACCTCCACCCTCCTCCTCCTCATCTTATTTGCACCCCCACCATTTCTGATGTCACCATTTCCTATCCGCTTCCGTCGCCGATCCATTGACTACCACGTGCCACTGCTGATATCAGCAAAGCCCCGGCGGCCGGTCCAAATAGGGCAGCAGGTCCATCTTCATGATGTCGATCTGCCATCATATACTATCAAAACATTGGTCGCTCGTCTTGCCTGGTTGGAGTGTGGGTGGGTAGTTTTTGAGCTGGAGAAGGTTCATCCCCTTGCGTTGCCCATGTTCATCGCTGTCCCATTCACTTGGGTACACTTATCTTTTGTCCATCATCTTCGCTACAGCTACACCTACCATACGCTGCCTGGGACTCACTTGTTCCAAATTGGAACTACTCCTCTCCCTCCCTCGTTTAATCAGGTGGTCCAACACAACCAGTCCATTGGTAAGGCCATGGAACTGTCGGATTTGGACTAGGTGGTGGACCGGTGGCTCCAGTTTCTTTTTCTTCAGCAGAACATTCATTTACAGTGCGATTATTTTTGATTTTTGAATCATTTTTATGGACACATATTTTTTTAGAATGCCTGACTGACAATAAAGGAACTGTGTTGATACTGATAGTGTTTTGCCTTGCCTTTTTTTACTGCATCTTCCCATGACATCATGATTTTCCTGCTCTCTTTTTGCTATTGGACTTTACTTTATGGCTGTACAAACCTGTGACATTACTCACAGCATTCATTGTTCTATCTCTTTCTTTTCCTTTTTTGACAATCTTATCCTGTACTACCTACGCAGGATTTGTCAGCGTACATTCCTTCCTTCATATTCTTTCTCATTCTTTGTGCACAGCTATACTGTGCATAGCCTACTTTTCTTTTACTATATAAACCCCTGTATTTTACCTTGTAAAAAAAAACAAGAACTCCAGTCCAGACTTCTTCTCTAAATTCAAGTTCACTACTCTGCTGCTTGTGATCCAGTGTGGTCACAACACTTCCCACTGCTACCACTGTCAACTGCTGTCATTGTCACTTCCCAGTTTTGAAGTCATTGTTATCCCTTTCGATTAGAGTCCTTCTGAGCACTACAGTTTGTGCGTCAGGAGCCTGCTATCACTGGGAACCTCGTCATATTGTCGTTCTCAAACCTACCTTGTGCTACGATTAGCAAGGTAGTGCTCATCTATACTCCCCACAAAGCCCCTATCTTTCTATATTCCAACTATCCCTCCTCCTCAAAACCCACACCCATACATCTCTGGGTTTTACTTTGAAGGATCCTTATACATACCACCCCACGAACAACCAGAGCACCCACTGTTCTAGGAGGCAAAGCCCATAAACAAGTTCCGTGGAATCTGGGAGGATTGTGTGTTAGTTTGTTTTTGTGTGTGGTTTTCTAACAACAGTTCTCATCATCAACACCGTCCTCAAATACATGTCATCTCTTGGCCTCAATCTACCTTTTTTTCTTCATTATATGAGCTGGGGAGATCATGAGTGTACCGCTGATCCCAAGATTCACTATGAAAGGGAATCTCATGGTCAGCAATGAGCATGAAGGAAATGAGTCATCAGTCCGATGGTATAACCAATGAGTAAAAAAAAATGAGTAGTCCTTAAATGTCCAATAGAGATCGTAACATTACCCCCTTACTTGCTCTGAGTTTCACCAAAATTTGGTACCTTCACCATCCATATTGTAACTGTCGTCGTAGCTGACGTCTCCATGTAATCCTTCCCTCAGAATCCTATCCTCGTCTTCCCTGCGGATGGGACACCAATTAAAACTATGTCCCGGTGCACGATGGTCACAGTCGGGGCAATAGTAGGCTTCGCAATAGTATGTGCAATGATCACTCCAACCACAGTTTTGGCAATATAGAGTGTTGTTACAAACACCTTCATGGTATCTTTGTCAGGTGCTGGATGAGGTGTCGGACTGGGGAGTGGTTGGATCGTCATCTCCCAGGTCATAGGTTCCTGCGTACAACTGATTGATCATGGCTGCGTTGTCATCTACGTTGATTGGGTTGGAGGGAGAGCCAGTCTCAGGCCTGTGCATTGCGCCAGGCGGACTGTCTTTCTGTCCCTTCGACATACGAGATTGGCGTTTTGATGGAGTTCTGGCGGCGGGGATCTGGAGTATCACCTCTTGCCGGCTGTGTCGGGCTCCTCGTCGGTTCGTCAGGCAACGGGTTTGGGCGTTTTGTACTGGTCAAGGTGGAGATGATGAGGGAGACAGTGGTTTTGGGTTCGACCCAATGGAATGGGGACTGGAGTGGCTCGACTCTTGTGAGATCGGGCTGGTTGGGGTGGTGGGAATATATTTTTCCCCCGACGGGATGGGCATAGGTCGACGGGTGATGATGTGGTAAGTGCGCTCTGGGGTAACACTGGTCTGGTCTGGGTGCGACAGGGACCGGAGGGACAAACCTGGTGGAGGAGTATTCATACAACCATCTCGCTCTATTCATGTGCGAGCTTCATTTAGCAATGTCCTCCCGCCTGATTCCAAATATTCCCTTGCTGAGTCTGTCTGCCCATTCAAGGAGCTCATCCTCAAGCGTTGTTCCAAAGATTCCAAAACTAACTTTTTCATCCGGAGTGCCCGACAGATACTCGAGTCCTGACTGTTGAGCTGCAAATGCTCGCTTTCCAAAAAATGTATTGAGTCTATGGCTTTTAGGAGTTTGTCAGCTACAAGGTCTATGGCAAGAAAGGTATGCATGGAAGAAAGAGCGTAATACGCATGGGGGCAGCATTTTTTGGTCTTGTAAAAGAGATAGGTATAGGCGTCTTTTGCTGACATTAATTCTATGGTGTCAGTGACATCGGCTTGGTTGTGTCGTTTCCCACGGGCAAAAGACACTCGTTTGTCGGCTAGCAAGTTGGTGTCGCTGGGTATCAAGTGAGTGGTGATAGGGAAGCCGGTGGAGTTAGAAGTAGACATGTTTTGTGTTGAGAGACAGGGGATTGTTGGTAGTGGGGTGATTGTCTCTTCAACGCAGCTTGTGGTCCTTCTTATAGGTTTCCAGTATCTCTGCAACATTGGTTAAATATTCTTCCGGTTCCCATGAGCTTTCGGAATGAGGGTAATGGCGCCATTTAATCAGGTAGCGGCGCCCGTGTTTCCAGGGTTTGTGTCTAAGAATACTTTCTACTTTGTATTCTTCTTCTTCGTTGACCAGGTTAGGTGGTGGTCGGATAAAGTTCGGGCCACGAGTGTTGGTTTCCGTTGTGTATCCTCCAATGGGGAGGCAGGGATAGTCGGTAGTTTACCGGAGAAATCTTTTCTTGGATGTGAAAAGGTCCAATGCATTTCATATTGAACTTCTTGTATTCGGTAGCTTTTTCTCGCAGGTTGGTGTTCTCTAACCACACCTTTTGTCCTTCGGAGAATCGCATGAACTTTCCGTTGTTTCGTTTCATCATCTTGCTTCTCGCGAGTTTGTGTGCTTTTAGGGCGTTTTCCCTTGCCCTAAGCAGTTTGGATAATTGTTTTTCCACTGATGAGATATTCGTGGATCTGTGTTTAGTCGGGATTCCTCGGGGTTCATATCCCATGAGGAGGTAGAATGGTGATTGGTTGTTTGTGGAGTGTGATCTTTGGTTGTGACAGAATTCGGCGGTTGTAAGGTATTTTGCCCAGCTGTGTGGTTGGTTCTGGCAACATATGCGGAAGTAGATCTCCAGTTCTTGATTGGATCGTTCTGTTTGTCCATTTGTCTGGGGATGATACGCAGAGGAGAGTGCAGTTTCAATGTTCAGGAGTTTGTGGAGTTCTTTGGATACTTCGGAGGCGAACTGTGGTCCCCTGTCGGATATGAGTTTATCGTGCAATCTGAATCGTTTGAAGATGGAATCGTGAAAGATTTGTGCGGTTTTGAGCGCGTCAATGGTTTTATGACAAGGTAAGAGGATTACCCCCTTACTAAGTCCTTGGTCTACCACGACCATTATACTGTCGTATCCTGAAGATTCTGGTAAATCATTTATGAAGTCTACGGATAGGTACTTCATCGGTTCGGTGGTTTTTGGTTTGGGATTAATGGTACGGTGGTGGAATGTGTGTTTACTTTCACTTGTTGACAAGTTGCGCATCCTTTCACGTATTCTTCCACTTGTTTCATCATTCCTGGCCACCAATAGGCCTTTTTGATCAATTGGTAGGTCTTGAGCCTTCCTGGGTGCCCTGCGGACAGGGAATCGTGGTGATCTTTGATGATCATCTTTTGTTCTTCTCCTTCATCAATCAGTAATTTATTCTGATAAAAGAACTGTCCTTCTTCTTTTCTCCAATTGTCTTTCTTTGTTCTTCCGGGATAATTATTGTTTGTGAGCATGGCTTGCTCGATGGTGTTTCGACGTATAAATCAGGTCTTCTTGAGAGTGCGTCGGGTACCACCATGTGGGTTCCTGGTACGTGCTCCAAGGTGTAATTGTATTGTGACAGTTCCAGCTGCCATCTTCTTTGTCGCGGTGTGAGTTTCCTGGCTTCTTGCCAGTACGTTAGGTTCTTGTGATCTGTCAGGATTTGGATCGTGTGGGGGCTTCCCAAAAGTAAGTGTTTCCACTCTTTTAAAGCTCTCATTACCGCCAATAACTCTTTGTCGTAGATCTGGTAGTTCTTTTCAGCGGGGGATAGAGTTTTGGAGAAAAATGCACATGGGTGCCATTGTCCTTGGTCATCGGGTTGCATTAATACAGCTCCTGTGGCGTGTTTGCTGGCATCTGCAGCAATCTTTGATGGTTTCAAGGAGTTGGGGATTTGTGTTACGGGGGATTTGAGGAATTTTTGTTTCATTAATTTGAACGTGTTGTCTTCCATTTGGGTCCAGTTCCACTTCTTATCCTTTTCTAGTAAGGCATTCAAGGGTCTGGCGAGGTCAGAGTAATGACCGATAAACTTTCTGTAGAAGTTTCCGTAACCTAAAAACTTCCTTACGCCTTTAGTGTCTTTCGGAATTGGCCAGTCGTGGATCCCGGCGAGTTTGGCTGGGTTCATTGATACCTGATTGTGGGAAACGATCATTCCCAAGTATTCAATGGTTTCTGCCTCGAAGGTGCATTTTTCTGGTTTGAGGAATAGGTCGTTATTGCGTAGTCTCTGTAGTACTTGTTTTGTTCAGATTCGGAGTCTTTTGACGTTGGTGACAAAGATGAGGATGTTGTCCATGTATATGATCATCCAACCTTCATCAATGTAGACTTTGAATTTGTTGTTCATCAGCCTTTGGAATGTTGCCGGTGAATTGCACATGCCAAAGAACATGACCGTTGGTTCGAACACTCCTCTGCTGGTTTTAAATGCAGCTTTCCATTTGTCTCCTTCTTTTATCCTTATGTTGTTGTATCCCCAACGTAGGTCTAGTTTTGTAAAGATGGTGGCTCCTTTCAATTTTTCAATGAGGTCGGGTATCAGGGGTAGTGGATAGGGGTCTTTCACGGTATATGCGTTCAGTTTTCTGTAATCTTGTCACGGTCGGAGTGATCCATCCTTTTTGCCAATGAAGAAGAAGGGGGACACCTGTGGCGACTTGCTTGGCCTGATGTATCCCTTTCTGTAGTTTTCCGTTAAGAATTCTGTTAATGCTTTGTCTTCCTTTGGTGCCAGTGGGTACAGCTTGTAATCTGTGTAACAACCAAGAGTTAGTTACTCCGGCGCACACAGGAACACACTATAAAGAGAAATGAAGAGGGAGTGGTTACCCCTTAGGATGCAGAGAGTTAGTTGGTATACAACAGGAGGACTCGCTGAGGAGTCTCCTGGATCTATTGGGGTATATATACTGTTATAGGGTTATTTGTACATGTGTACTATACAGTTAATAGCAACAGTGGCTGATGATGTCATGGGGCCTAGCCCTCATGGCCAGCTCCACTGTGTGAGAGAGTTGTATCTATAATAAGAAGAAAGGCAACACGGCGCAAGAAAGGGAAATGCCGCGTGGCACTATGTGTGAAGTCTAAAGTACAAGGTCAAGGCGGAGAATAAAAGTAAAGGGAAGGTCCGAAAATTGTGTTATTGTAACACTACCCCCCTTTTAAGGCTCGACTTCCAGGCAAGACCAAATACCGGAGGTAGTGGTTAAATTTTTGGGCATAGGTTGAAAAAGAGAATTAAAAAGATTTGAATCCATGCCTCTAAGCTTCCTAGAAGCTGAGGGATTCTTAGAATAAAATTCGCGAACAGCGTCGCGGGAATTGTCCAGATGGGCTTCTGGTTCCCACATTATGTCCTTGTCTCCATAGCCCTTCCATAGGACTAGGAACTCTAATTTACCACGCTTCAAGCGTGCATCCACTACCCGTTTGACTTCGAACTCTTCTTCACCTTCCTGGGTGACAACAACCGGTCCGGGCTGGTCTACACGCTGTCCTGGCAGCGGCCCTTTGTAGGGTTTCACACGGCTAATGTTGACTGTAGGTACTACCCTCATTCGTTTTGGGAGTTCCAGCTCCACTGTGTTTGGTTTGACTTCCTTAATCCGGTAAGGGCCGATCCACTTTTTGGTCAGTTTTCTAGACTGCCGATCTTTCAATTTTAAGTGGTCAGTATCTAACCAGACCAGGTCGCCGACTTTGTAATCAGGGGCCTTAGAGCGTCTACGCTCTGCCCTGTCTTTCATCTGCTCTGCAGTTTTGAATAGCGCCTTGCGCATTTTGTCTAAGACAGACTTCATGTCTTTGACCATATTCTCAGCAGCCTTGTTCTTGCTTTTACCAGGTTCTACACCCATTCTGGGGAGGTACGATCTTATAACCTCGAATGGTGCCTTTCCTGTAGCCGATGACTGTTTGATATTGTATGAGAACTGGGCTATTTTTAGCCACTTGGCCCAATCCGTCTGCCTGTCATTAATGAATATCCGGAGATATTGTTTCAACTCCTGGTTGAGTTTCTCCGTTTGTCCATCAGTCTGCGGATAGAATGCCGTTGATAATTTAGGTTCGATGCCCAGCATCTTGCATAATTCTTTCGTAAATTTGCTAGCAAATTGGGGTCCTCTATCGGAGATAACCATTTCTGGTAACCCGTGGATAGACCATACAAAATCTTTAAATAAATCTGCTGTACCAGCGGCAGTAATGGTTTTGTTGGTGGGTATGAATACCACTTCTTTGGAGAAGCAATCAACTACCACCATTACTGAATCATACCCATTTGATTCGGGTAGATCCGTTGTAAAGTCCACCGATATATCCTGCCAGGGACCAGCTGGTATTGGATTCGGCATGAGTTTACCAGCCGGCGGTTGGTGAGAATTCTTAGCCATGGCACATCTCAAACAGGATTTTACGTATTCCTGCACGTCTTTGACCATGCCAGGCCACATGTAGTTTCTGGAGATCAACTCCATTGTTTGTTGCCACCCAGGGTGCCTAGCCACTGGAGTGTCATGATGTCTGTCTATTGCTTTGATCCTTGCGGACTTAGGCACATAGATTTTGTCTTTAAAATGGAAGAGCCCGTCTTCCCATAAATAGTTTTCATTGTCATCAAGGCACGCCTTTTCTTCTGAGCAAATGTCTTTCTTGAAGACTTCCAGAAGATTGGAATCCTGCCTGATTCTAACATTGCAACCCTTGATTGGTCTATCAGGGTGACACCTTTGTTATCATCTCCAATGCCATTGGCATGATCCTCTCTTCTGGACAAAGTGTCTGCTTTCCCCATAGAGCTTCCAGGCTTATGAATTAATTTATAATTAAACCTTGACAAGTATACCGCATAGCGGGCCTGTCTTCGGTTCAAGTCTCTGGCCGTCGTAAAATATTCCAGATTCTTATGATCAGTCCAAATTTCAAATTGGTGCCTAGCACCTTCTAAGTAGTGCCGCCAGTGCTCTAAAGCTCTAATGATGGCCAGCATCTCTTTATCATATATTTGATAGTTGCGCTCTGTAGGCAACAAACTATGCAATAAATAGGCACAAGGCCTCCAAAGATCGTCAGGGCATTTAATTGATAGAACAGCCCCAGTAGCAAAATCAGAAGAGTCAGTTTCTAGCTGGAACTCTTTGTCCAATTCTGGAAATGCTAATATGGGCGTCGTTGTAAACACCTGTTTAAGCTTATCAAAAGCTTCTTGTTCCTTGGCGCCCCAGTGCCAAACAATGTCCTTTTTAGTGAGATTGTTCAATGGTCTCGTGATTTTTGCGAAGTTTTTGATAAACCTTCGGTAGAAATTGCCTAAGCCAAGGAAGGCCCTAACTCCTTTGACGCGAGTAGGTTCTGGCCAGTCCAATATAGCTTGAACTTTCTCAGGATCCATCCTGATTCCATTCTGGCCTATGATTATACCGAGGAAGTCTACTTCCTTCACTTTAAAATTACATTTTTTGGGTTTGACAAATAGGTCCCGTTCCTGTAAGCGTCAAAGGACTTCTTGCACAATCTTGTCATGCTCTGCCTCATCGTCCGACTTTGTAAATATTAACAAATTGTCAATGTAAATGATGACACAGTTTTCCATATCCGCAAAAATCTTGTTCATCATGCTCTGGAAGGTTGCCGGTGAGTTGGTCAACCCAAAGAACATAATAAGGGGTTCGAAGGATCCTCGGTGGCACGTGAACGCGGCCTTCCAAGCATCTGCTTCTTTAATTCTTACATTATTGTACCCCCATCTGAGATCCATCTTTGTCAAGATCTTGGCACCAGCCAATTTGTCTACTAGCTGACTGATTAAAGGCAGCGGATACACATTTTTAACCGTGTGCTCATTCACATAACAATAGTCCATAATTATACACTTCTTACCATCCTTTTTAGGAATGAAGAACACCGGGGACGTCATAGGGCTTTTGGAAGGTCTGATGTAACCCTTTCTAAACTGTTTGTCTATGAAACTTGATACCTCATCTCTTTTTGGAGCAGAGAGGGGTATCATGTGTCCTTTTCTCGGTTTGAAGGTGTCCTTTAAATCTATAGCATGGTCCCAAGGCTTAGCCTCCAGGAAGTGTTCTGATTTATGTTTAGAAAAGACTTTCCAGAAAGTCATGGTACTCGGGAGGTACCAGCCTCTTAATCTCTTCTTCGGGTTTTACCTCATCATCATCATTGTTGATCTTTTCTAAAGATCTGAGCTCATAAATGTGACCAGTGTTTATCTTCTCAAGACGCTCATTGTGACGGACATGATTTGGTTTACCCAAGTTCACACACTCCTGAGGGCAGCATGACAATGTGACAACCCCTGTCTGCCAGTTGATCTCAGGATTGTGTTTAAATAGCCAGGTCCAGCCCAAGATTAAATTAATCTTCCCTAGTTGAGTAGCTTCGGCAGTGACTTGTTCTCTGTGTCCTTGGTATTTGACAACAAAGGAACATTTGTGTGTGATGCGGCCACCTGCATTAAGTGTACCGTCAACGTTATAGACGGGAATAGATACATCTAATTTTACAAGGGGGAGTCCAATCTGCTTAGCCCAGACCTGGTCTATGAAGATTCCATTAGCGCCTGAATCAAGCAGTGCGCTTGTTGGGTGTACTATGCCTCGGGCAAGGTTTTCCACACCAATGTCTAAACAGATCTTATTTTGGAATAAATATGTGCGCATCAACACACGCCTTGGGATTTTGGGAAAGGGTGGTTCCAAAGAAGAGGAAGTATTGAAAGAAACATGTTTTTCTATTTTATTTTTACCAGAATCAAGCACCCTAGTGTTTGTCTCGCCGGGGCCACACTCCAAGGGAGACGCTGGTGCAGCAGTAGTATCATAAATATTACAGTCACAATGTTTTATACAGGTACAGGTTTCAGATAACAATTTTAGAAATTTATTTACAAATAAGGGAGCCATCCCCTTCTTTCCATTATTGCTCGTGCAACACCCCGGAGCAGGGGCCACCTTGTTGTGGTTTACTTCATTGTTCATAGGAGCAAAGGCACCCAAGTGACCTAAGCTCCAAACTCTTTTCCCTGAGCCTTCATCTCATTGACCTGTTGGTCATAGAAAAAGGCCCGGATTTTGTCATATGAACAACCGGCCAAAGAGTTGAGCCGATCATCCGGTTTTTCGGTTTCTAATTGGCGCGCCTGGCGCCCTTGATTATTTTTTTGTTGAGTGGCCTGCGCTCCTTTTCTGCAGTCTCATGCCATGTGCCCCTCCTGCCCACAGTTGAAGCAGGTGAATCTGCACTTCTGTCCGCTTGTTAAGTTGTCAGCCCTTCTCCAGACTGGCAGAGGCAAGTGCTCGGCCTGGTCAGAGGTATTTGAAGAAGAAGTTTTGTATTTATAAATCTAATCAACAGAGGTTCCACACCAACTGCTAAGCTATAGTACTCCCCTTAACGCTGGGGGCCGCGTATCACAGGTTTTGGGTTCTTCTCCCAAAGCACTACAAGGCCGTCGCTAGGAGCGCACCTATTTGCTATACGGGATATTCCTAACCGCTAACCAATCTCCTTCACCCTGGAGTCCGGGTGCCCAGTGGGACTTTTTGCACAAACGTGCGAGAGAGTAGAAAGAGCGAGTCCTAATGTAACAACCAAGAGTTAGTTACTCTGGCACACACAAGAACACACTATAAAGGTAGTGATGAGGGAGTGGTTACCCCTTAAGCTGCAGAGAGTTAGTTGGTATACAACAGGAGGACTCGCTGAGGAGTCGCCTGGATTTATTGGGGTATATATACTAATACAGAGTGTTTGTACTTAAGTACCGTACAGTTGATAAAGTTAGTGGCTGATGATGTCATGGGGCCTAGCCCGCATGACTAGCTTCACTGTGTGAGAGAGTTGTATCTAAAATAAGAAGAAGGCAACACGGCACGAGAAAGAGGAGTTTGAACAAAAAGGGAAGTGCCATGTGGCACCATGTGTGAAAGCTAAAGTGTACAAGGTTCAAGTGGAGAATGAAAAAGAAGGAAAGGTCCAAAAATTTTGTTATCGTAACACCTAGGAGTACAATTGTGCTCCTAAAAGAACAATGGTGACTCCATGGAGTGGTGGCTATGTTCCATGGAGAACAATGGCTGCTTTGGCAGAGACTGGGTTTATCCAGTTTTGCCACTCCCACTCAAGTGCAACCGTAGTCCCATAGCTTTAGAGAATTTCCAGTGTTTTTTGTGAGTGAGGGGTTTAGTGAGAATGTTGGCAACCATATCTCCTGTAGGAACATATCTGATTACTGCCTCTCCCTTTGATACTAAGTCATCTCAGATAAAATGATATTTCCGTTGAATGTATTTTGTGCGAGCACGGAACTGTGGATCTTGTGTAAGAATAATAGCTGCTTGATTGTCACAGTGCAATGTTGTAGGTCCATTTTGAGCATGTCCAATTTCTTCAAAAAATGTCCAAAGCCATGCAAGGTGTTGTCCAGCATTGCTCAATCCAATGTACTCTGACTCCGTGGAGGATAAAGCTATCATGCTTTGTCTTTTGCTTGTCCAGGAGATTGCTCCTCAGATGGTGATAAAAACAAAGCCTGATGTTGATCGAGATGTGTCTGGGTCTCCAGACCAATCTGCATCTGAATATCCATAGAAATCCATGTCCATGGAGACATCTGTGCCATCATATCGTAGTTCCATGTCCCTGGTTGCTTTCAGATATCGGAGGACACATTTTGCAGCTTCCCAATGATGGCTCCTTGGAGCTGAGCTATGCCTGCTTAGTATTCCAACAACGTAGGCAATGGCTGGGCGGGTTCTGAGCATGGCATACATGAGGGAGCCTACAATTGAGAGGTATGACACTTGGCGCCCTTCAATATGCATCCCATGTTGCACAATATCTTCCCCTGGAGCATTTGCAAGGAGTTTTGATCCATGGGCCATTAGTGTCCATACTGGTTTGCAGTTCTTCATTCCAGTGCACTCCAGGACTGTGTCAATGTATTGGCGTTGCAATAGGGATATTGTTTTGTTTGAACGATCACGTTGGATTTCTATTCCGAGGATGTATTTTGCTTCTCCAAGGTCCCACATTTTGAATATGGATTCGAGTTTGGCTTTTGTGATATCCATGAATTTTTGGGATGAAGCTCCTAGGAGGAGGTCATCTACATAGACAACAACAAAGCATATTTGTTTGTTGTCCCGGAATACATATACATAGAGACATGTTTCTGCATTTAGTCTTGTGAAACCGAGCTCCTGGAGCTTGCGATCAAAAGTTTTGTTCCATGTACAACTAGCTTGTTTTAACCCGTAGATGGATTTTTTCAATCTCCAGCAGTATCCAGGTTGGATAGGAACACCCCCTGGAGGAAGCATGTACAGTTCTTCTTCAAGTTCTCCATTGAGATAAGCTGTGGATACGTCCATTTGATCAAGTTCTAGGTCGTACTTTGCTGCCAGGGCTAGAGTAATTCGGATTGACTCTAAGTTTGCAACCGGAGCAAAAACTTCCTGGTAATCAATCCCCTCCCTTTGAGTAAAACCTTGTGCAACAATCCGGAGTTTGTATCTCTCAATGTTTCCGTTTTGATCAAACTTGATCTGGAACACAGGTTTTGATGTGATGGGTTTTACTCCCTTTGGAAGTGGAACAGTGTCATATACTGCATTAGTATTGAGACTTAGAAGTTCCTCCTCCAATGCAGACTTCCATAATTCTCCATCCGGACATGATAAGGCTTCCTTTAGTGTCCTTGGAAGGTCTGTGTTAGATGGACCGATACTTGCTATTCCAGCAAAGAATGTCTCCTCTGTATCAGATGTTTCTTCATGAACCTCAGGAGTGTTAGGTTTCTCCATGGAGTTGTCATGCTGGTCTTTTCGAGACTGTTCCTCATCTAGAGTCCTTTGATAATCTCGGTTTTTGTCTGCAGGACGGCTCTGGCAACTGCTTCTGCGTACTCCTAGGACTTCAGCAGGCATGACTGCTCTTTTAGGAACTTGTGCAGGTACTCCAGGGAGTAGACATATTTGTGTATTTATTGCCCCACTCACTCCTGAAGGTGTTGAATCACTCCTCGGAGGCGTTGGATGACTCCTCAGAGGTGTTGGATAACTCCTTGGAGGTGTTGTATGCCTTCCAGAAGCTGATCCAATGGACAGGCTGTCTAGCTGTATTCGGACTTTTTCCACATCAGCTGGCTGTATGTTGAGGGGCTGTCCTCCCACTGACTGTAACTCTACTTTGGCTTTCCGTTCTGAAGATGGCCAGTGTTCAGGTCTTGGTTGTAGAGACTGTTGTGGAGGGTGTCTTAGCTGATCAGGTGCTCCCACTGCTCTCAGAACATCTTCATGCTGATATGGTTCCATTGCTTGTGGAACATCTCCTTGGAGATGTGGTTCCATTTGCAATTCATTTGGATCTCGGATCCGAGGGTCAGGATCATCCTCTTCCAATGTTTTTTGGTCTGGATAGTGAGCATTCTCTGGAATGAGTCCCTCCCACTGATCTGTGCTAGTGTCTGTGTTCCAGGGAGCAGTGTCATCCTTTTGTATCTTTCCGGATTCATTGAATATGACATGCCAACTGGAAAACACAGTCCGTTTTTCAGTGTCTAGGAGTTTGTAGGCTTGCTTTCCATGTGTGTAGCCAATCATTATGGCTTTGCGCCCCTTGGAGTAAAACTTCCCTTGCCTTTTGTCTTTCGGAATCAAGGCATATGCTTGGCATCCGAAAGGGCAAAACAAAGTTGGATCAACTTTCCTTTTAAACAGTATTTCATATGGGGTCTTTCCATGGAGTCCTGATGCTGGGCTGCGTGCTGTGATATATGCAGCTGTTTGCATGGCATCTACCCAAAATCACTTTGGGAGCTTGGAATCATGGAGCATAGTGGTTGCTAATGTAGCCAACGTCTGATTCATGCGTTCTGCAATGCCATTTTGTTCCGGAGTATCTGCAGCTGTAGTTTCTTGGATGAAACCATCTCCTCGGAGTTGATTTTTGAATGCATTGCCAGTATATTCTCCTCCCCCATCGCTCTGGAGGAATTCTGTGTATAGTGGAGTGAAGTTTTCTTCTCCCAAATGAGTCCGGAAGAATGTTTGGACATCTTCTTTCCATTGCTTGTATTGTTCCAGTGCTTCACTTTTATGTTTTAGGAAATATATCCATGGAAATTTGGAGAAATCATCTACAATGATAATCCAGTACCAAAAACCCTCCCTGGAAGTTGGTTTGATTGGTCCTCCAACATCTGTGTGCACAATTTGTATGGGGCACTTGGCTCAGTTTCCTCCAGTGGACTTGAAAGGAAATTTCTTCATCTTTCCTAAGGCACAAGGTTCACAAAACTCCGGGGTTCCGGTAAGGGTGTCTATGTCCTGGAGCTGTCTTTTTGTAACCATTTGTTGCAAGCGGTCCATTCCAATGTGTCCCATTCTCCTGTGCAATAAATTTACATCTACTGCTGCAAAAGCTGACTTTGGGTTGATTTTGGGTTTTGATTGGATGTGATAAAGTCCTCGCTTGTGTAAGGCAGTGAGGATAAGTTCCTTCTTTTTCCGAACTTCACAAGCATTTGACTCTGCTGGAAAAAGTGTTGATAACCCCGTTTTGGACAATTTGTGGACAGAGA